GGGGGGTTGGAAGAATTGGGTTGTAGTAGAGGAGGCTCAGAAGGGTGCTCGCTAAATGAAGGAATTGGGAAGCCCACAGAGCTGGGATAAGGTTAGAGATGATCATGACAGATAGAAGTATGGCATCGTGTTGAAATCAAGCACTTGATAAAACAGTGAATTCAAAGGAACCGACATATTTCTGTTGGTTGGGGAATTTTGGATATATTTTTGTTCATCTTTTTTTAAAAAAGCTCAATGTCTTTTGTATTAATTAAAAAGACATTTCTATGTGGATTTTATTTTCTGAAACAACTTTACTAAAGGCACCAAAATGTAAAGTTATATTTTCCAAGGACACCGATGCTTTGGAAGCTATAAAATTTTAGCAGCCATTTTCTTGCTATTATTATCTCTGACATCTAGCAACCCACACCACCTTCAACCCCTAATGTCTAAACTTTTATTCAAGATTATTTGGTCTTAATTCTTAAAAAGCAAGAAAAATGAACAGGTTTTACGATGATACCAATAACTCCAAATGCCTCAAAACTGACAAGCGCCCGATTCCATTGTGTCGTGACCTAAATACATAACTGAAGGTATACGCCGGAGACTTGTATCAAAGAGTCTACATAACAAGAGGGGTCACTCCTCTCTTTGAGCCAATTAAAAAAGTGTCCTCAAAATTCGGTGGCGCCCTCTTCGCAAAAGCGCACCCTTTGCGAACAGAGTTACCCTACTTGTGTTAAAAAAAATCAAAGTGAAACTAGCAAGTTTTTGAATACATTTCGGAAGAACGCTTTTTTTAAAATGGTGACGCTGACAAACAGCCTCTTCCGGAGGAAAGGGTGATTGTTTTCTTCGTTTAATTTGACTTTAAAATGAAAGGCGAGAGATCATTAAAAAAAACAAACAAAACTAAAACTCCGCACTGATCTGCGCACTCAATTAGGTGCTATTCCTATTCTTCTTCTGGAAAAACGAAAGAGAGCTTCAAAACAGACTGCAGCGCCATCTGAAGCAAAGAGCGGACTTCCGGTGGACACTTTTTTGGCTGAGTGCACCATCTTGTTATGTACTATCTTTGCTTGTATTACGATATCCAGGACTGGACCCGTAAGAAGTACTTCCGGTTCACCATGAAGTGCACCATTTGACTTCATTTATTGGCACCAATTGAAGGGCAAGGAGGGAAAGGTTGAGTGTGTACTCGACCGTAATGAGACTTGTGTGTCACCCTTTATTTGCGCGTCCATGGTGCGCACCAGAACTGCAATTTAAAAAAAAATACAGAGTATAAAATGGCAGCCATGACGGTTCCCGAACGTTTTATTTAAGTCTATGTATGAAGAGTAAAGAGTGGCAACCATAGCAGTGCCCGGTCGAGGGTATTATAATTCCGTGTCTATGTATGCAGAGCAAAATGGGCGGCCATGACAGTGCCTGGTCTAGGATATTATTTTTTTAGTTTTTCGCAAGGAGTACTGTATCTGTGTAGTACTCCTTGGCTTTTGGGAATAAATTAACCTGGGACTCCCACCCCATTTTGAAGGTGTTTGACCTAAAGTGTTGTCAAAACTTCGTAGCGCAATGTATCCTCAAATATCACTTGAACGAGGGAATCAGTGTCTCAGTTTGTACCAACTTGTCCTAACTCAATCATATTATTCTACAGTTGGGGCTAGATTAAAAAAAAAATCTTTTCTTCATAGATTTACAATTCTACAAATCTCCATCACGCGGAAAATGGGATTGTTCACAGCACTTCCCGCATCTCAAACACATTTTGCATACGCATATGGCCCACGTCACAGCTCACAAATGACGTTTTTTTTTGTTGTTGAAAATTTGTTACAAGAAACTAATTTCATAGTGAACATATCTTTTGGCTCTAAAGTTCCCCCCAAAATGAGTTCAATAAGCATACCGTCATGATTTTAAAAAAAAATGAGGTGCTTGCTTTTACAAGCGACATTGCCCCAGCTGTAAACCTATTAAAATCTGTAGAAACCATTTATATTTATTTAATAAGGCGTTTTCTAGAATACATCTATCAGGTGTATACAAAAATATTAATATGTTAATTAAAACAAATTGATACATGTCATTCTGCAAATGCTGGAGAGTCTTTGTTCGATAGTTTAGAAAATATTTGACAATAAGTTGCGCCACGGATTTGTGAGCCCACTATAGTTTGCACGGGTTACAGTTACAGTACAGGCCACAGTGGGAGTCACAATCGGATTGATGCTATGTCTTACGGGCTTCCAGGGATAAGTATGTTCGTAGTTGTGTGCAAAACTATACTTTTTTGGTTGGGGGAGGTGG